CGTCATTCGTGTATGACTTGCTAGTTGGGGTTAGGCGTATACCCTAAGTGGTGGCTATCCTTCTTAGAATATGTATTCCAACTGGCGGAGACCCTTCTTATCCCATGAATAACCCACTCACCAAGTTCCGCTGATCTTCCACGTGTCCTCTGCACTGCGTGGATCCATGCCAATTATATGTACTCTGCAAGAGGCTCCCGGCATGCGGTTGACACGGCATATGAAACAATCATGACTGTCCACAAGCGCGGCCAGCAACAAACAGAAGAAACCTCTCAAGCCCATCAACAAATCAGTGTAGGATGCAACGCGCTTAGATGTGCTTGGCAGACCTCAAGATATCACTTCATCACTTGGTGCCTGGATGGTTTGGCAAATTTCAAGCAAAAGGCTACCTTCGTCCGCATCGGTCCCCCAACCCACAAATCCTCGGGACATCTGTTGACATGACCAACACTCGCAACCTTTGGCGGCTCTTTCTTCCACAGACAGCTCACTGCGACTTCTCATCCGGTGCAGACACGCCATGGAGGCATAAAGTGCCATAAAGGGCATCACATAAATAAAGATCCCGCGAAACGTGGAATCTGCACAGCGGACGGAAAGGTCACACGGCCTCTCATCTTCTGCTTATCTGTAGTCGTAGAAGCCGCGCTTCGTCTTCTTTCCAAGCCATCCAGCTTCCTGGGTTGCCGACGTGTCCCTCATTCCAGCGTGCACCCAAGGAACTCAGGAGCATTTCAGAAGCTGAAGTCCTAACAAGTCTGAACTCTTGGCCTTCGATATTTCGGTCATGTCGCAACATAGTTGACCAGAAGTGGAGCTGGACCTCGGCAGGTTGCCAGAACTGCCGGAATCATCAGAAAGAGGCTCGTACAGGAACTGATATCCCGAGAGGCAGGCGGTACTTGGAATCACCCAAATCTCTGTGCAAGACCTCCCCGGCTCTATTCGTTGTGTGCAAGCGCATACGTTGTGGACGCTTAGGCAGTCCTGCATGATGCTGAGGCAGGTATCCAGGCCGATGAAGTCCTCAGCCGTCGTACGCCGGCATGATTTCAAGCTGACTGGTTCAAGTGATGCCGTTGGGGCATGGGGCATGATGCTTGGCCCGCTGCCGCAAGTGTCAGAGGACCCATTGGCACATTCGTGCCAAGCTTCAACGTCTTGTCAATGTCCTGACCGGCCACGGGCAGGCTTCATCTTCACTACTGCCCAGGAGCAGCATACAACCAAGCACGATCAAGCAAAGCCCGCCTCAGCAGAACCAATGTTTTCTTGGAGAGCGAAGACCGCCTGTCAACTGGAGCCCATGACAACCAGTCTGCCGAGCCCCCTGCGCCTACCTCGTTGATGTACGGCATCAGGATGCGGTTGGCTATGAAACCTGTCCATGCCACCATGAACCACTGCACAACGACTACCTGCGCAGCGGCACTGAGCATCCACCTGGACGATCTGCGCTGGTTGAGTGCTCCTGAATGTGACAGTTGCGAAAGTTGTCAGAAACTGCCCGTCCCACGCCAAAGTGGCGACTTGGTCAAATGAGTTGCAGCTCCTTCTTCATTGCCCGGCAAAGCTGGAGAGTTGTGTCCAGCGTTCCGTCGTCTGTTCTTAAGCCTCGAATGACCTCAACCAGTGGCATCACGGGGACGGGGTTCCTTGGCTCTTCGCAGCACGGCAGACGTGCCAGGCACAGAGAGCCGTCTGAGCGGCGAGCGATTAAGCTCCAGGCATAAAGTGCATGCCTTAGGTACTGGCACAGTACTCGGAAGATACATACTACAGAGGGCATGTAGCTTCAACTGTAGGAGTTGTTCGTATCTTGACGTGACGTCGGTGGTATTCGGTGGTGCACGCATTGCTCTGCTCTGCTTCCAGGCCACCGATGACCCTCTCAGGCCTCTGTGCAGGAAAGGCACGGAGAGGCTGAAAAGCGACAAGCGAGCCTTGCTTGCGATGCTTGCGCTTGCGCGAGCCTGGGAACCTTCGCGGCGAGCTTCGTGATTGAAATAGAAGAGGTATTGCTTGCCAGAATACTTTCTTCTGAAAGTCCAGCTGCCTTGCAATCTCGTAGTCTGGATTCTGTGGTCTCTGTGCATGTCGTGGCGGACTGAGCATACATGCATAGGACCTGCAGGGCAGCGAAGCAGGACTGCTTGGTGTCAAAGTCTTCGCTGACGGCCTTGGACTTGACAAGGAATTCCAATATATTCCAATCACAGCGGCAACAGTGACATGCAGCCTGCATCATGCAGCCCTCCCGGGCCTCGATGACAAACTCCGCTTTGGAGATGGCATTCGACAAGGCGGAGGTGTCTGCGAGGTTAACGAAGCTGAAACGCTTTCGAAAGTCTTCGGCCTTGCCAGCAATCACACTCGTACTTGCTCAGTCGTGACACCAAAATCGCGTTCTGCACGTGCGCTACAACATGCTGCCGCTGCCTCAGACTCCGACATGCGCCCTTTATTTGCCTGCACTCTGCCAGAGATTCTTGCGAAATGAGAATGCCCATCATCCCCTGCTTCAAAGCTCTGCAAAGTCATCATGTGCACGTTGAAAAAGAACGAGAGACGATTGCTGCGCAGAATCTGCGCAGTGCTGCGCCTCCTTCTTGGCCCATTCGTGAATGAACGCTTGGCTCCGCTCCAGACTGGCAGGAAACGCGTCCATTCCAACAACCTCCAAGCGCGCATGGGCTGCCTGGGTGCAGACGCATCGGTTTAAATCAAGCATTCAACTTCAATGTCGCGCATCCTTAAGTGACCATAAGTGATTCCGACTGGATGCAGCGACGATTGCGATGCCAGTGCCCATCCTCAGTCGCGGCGGCTCTGCTTGACCCCTCATATTACCCAACTTCTCTGCTTTTCGCTGGACAGATCTTGGACTTTCAGCATCTGTCAGTGCGTCATGCATCGCACTCAGCCCCGCGGGAAGCTCATAGCCGGCCCCCGAACCCATTTAGTCTATTTCGATTGAGCACTGCAGCTCCCGTCGGTCGAACTCAAAGGCAACGCCACACATGCATGTTTCGGCGAATGGGAGTACAACGCTTGGGGATCCACATGTTGACCGGCTTGAGACCGAATTGAACGTCTTCTTTGTTTCGAGACGGCCGCAATGGGTTGCAAACCGATTCGCCCACTTAACTGGCGGATTCGCAAGCTCATGCGCAGAGTCGTGCGCAGAACATTCGAGCACCGGCGCACCTGCGTGGGTCGCGGCGGCATTTAAACCATGCATTTCAGCTTTGTGGCTCGACACTCCTTCGAGGTGTATTTTGAAGGGCTATGGGAATTACGGGTGTCCTGCTCTGCAGTCTTATGAGCTCCTTGGAGAATTCTTGCCTTTGCCACTTTTCCTGACGAGATTCCACGATGTTCAAGTTCGCATGATTTCGAGGTAAACCACGCAGTGACGTGATGTTTTTGCCCAATACGCCATGCTTGTGGAGTTCGTCTCTACGTGTGAGCTGTAGCAATGAGTAGGAACCGACGTTCCAAAGCACAGCTTTTAGCTCTTGAAAACTGGTTTCACTGTTGCGCGCTTCGTGACATCGGGCTCAAGACGAGGGAAAAGAAGACCGTTTGCCTGTGCTTGCGCTTGGGTGTAGGCCTTGTACTTTCAGGGGAAAGGTACCCAAGGGACCTTGAGTTTTTCACAGCTGAACGTGTGTCCCCGGCATTCGCAACATGTGCTGGACAATCCCCAAGTCAGACTGCCATCCCTCTTGCCGCCTTCGAAAGAATAAGGTGCATCCCAATTCTTCAGATTTCCAAGTTGCTAGTTCAACGCGAACATTCGTGGGTTCGAGATGATCATTGCTAGCCGCGCCATCCTAAGACCCGCAACCGCTCAGCCCAAACCCAAAAGACCCAAACCTTGAAAACACAGTAAATCCCTCCAAAACATAAACCGTAGAAGCCTGGCCACAAGTCCTAAAAACCCAAATCGCTTGAATCGGTGGTGCTCGAATTGTACTTCATGCATGGAAAGAGCGGCTCGCGCTGGATTGAAAGCTGTTCTGAACATGTCGTACGAAAATGTACGAAAGTGGGACAGCGCAGCAAGTTTGCAGGGTCGGCAAAGGCAAATTGCTGTGCAGTGAGTACCGTGAAGTTCGCGCAAGCATTGCTCACTTGACACTGTGAATGGACATCTCTGGGCATATCTGAGTCCATGTCTGCCCGCAGCCTACAACGCCAACGCGTTTGATCGGCAAGGCAGTCGACGCCAGACGCGCACCCCATGGCATCAGGGCGGAAGGTCTCCGAAACATCGTGCTGTGACCCTGAGCAAGTACCAGCACAGCACCTGCATCTAGAATCTAGGGGGCCTTCGGCTGCAAAGCCTAGCATGGCTAGACGTTCACAAGCACAGCTCTTTGATCCTTGAATTGGAGCAAGAGAGCAAGATGCAGCTTTGTCAACATGTGCCGCCTCCGACATGCCACAAGTTACACTTTCACCAAAAAGCTCCCATGCACATACCTAACAGCACCAGCTGTCTCAAACTCCAAAACCACTCACAAGCAAACCCACGAAGACCCGAATCCTATGAAAAGCACCTCTCATGCGAGTATCACCTCGGGTCGGGCCTCGTGTGCAGCTACAGTGAAGTGGAAAGAAGCTTGTTCCTTACAGAATCCTGCCTTCTTGTCCGTGTCAGTTCTCGCAATCGGTGGCCAGACAGCACAACTCCTTCCTAAGTTGTTATAGTAGCCGCCTACTTCCCGGCAACATCGTGACCAACAGAGGATTGGCAACCAGCCATCGACTTCGACGCCTGTCATGCCTTTTTCGGTCACTTGCTGCGGGCACTCTTTAGCCTGCTTGCATTAAGGTGATACTCTAAGTTTTCGGCACGTTTTCTGCCAAACATGATGATCTGCGTGTTACATTGGTCAGCAAACGATAGATGGAAGCGCACAAGTCGGCCTCATGAAGCAGGGTACCTCGCTGCGAGGCCGGCAGTAAGAGAAGCAGCTCGTCATCTCAGATATTCTTCGATTACGGTCCCTAAAACCCCTAAACCCTAAAAACCCTAAACCCTAAACAGTCGGGGCACGGCCGGAGGTCCGCCTCCTGACAATTTTTGGTTATATAAGTTCCATCTTCTGCTTGGCCTCGGCGCGCGATCACAGCAACATACAGACACAAATTGGGACTCTCCACCTGAGAGCACTGCCCAAATAAACAGTGTAGAGAGGCCCAAGGGCTGTGAGGAAAACCTGTGACAAAGGATGCTCACATAATCTCAAACTGAATTTCCACTTCCGGGCCCTTCCAGCCTCCAAGATGTAGCACCCTGACTCCTGTGAATCTTTGGGAGTGCAGCTACGTTTGTTGACAGTGAGTGCATCCAAACAGCCTCTCCACTGGATCGGGTGACTATAGCGTTCTGACCTGCGCAAGGCATGTTTGCCTTCCAGGAGTTTGAGTTTGTGTCTGGCTTTAATGTCTGGCCTGCAGCAAACGAAGCTGCTGCATAAGAAAACCCTGTAAACTCTCCTGTCGGAGGGGGAGGAACTGCCATAACGACCTAAGTGGCAGCTTCAACTTTTTTCTCAAAGCACATCAGAGTTGCAAGACTTTCTTGGGATCACGCCCCTTGAGCGTGCAGCTCTTCTTGCCTGGCCTTAGATGAGGCGACTGTAAAAAAAGAGCCTTGAGGAGGTGAGCACCCACCGACCGATGTCTGAGGCCTCTGCCGCGGCAATGGCGGCCCCCTCCTCAAGCCTGGCCCTGTCATCCTCGTGGATATCCACTCCTTGCAAAGCTTGCACTTTGCACTTTGGTGATGTCAGCACGAAGGGCGGTGAAGGCATGGAATCTGCGACCAAGTTGCCCGTCGCACTGTCTTCGGCCTTCTCCTCGATGGGGTAATACCTGTGGGCTGGCGAAAAGCCAGATGTACGTCGGAGAAGCGAAGTTAAGGTCGACCGGCAGCTCACGAGAAGGACACCAGCATCCCAGGGCCAGCTTCATCTGGACATGTGAGTTGCAGCACCTGCGTGGAATGAGCTCTGCTCCCTCCACTCCCCATCCCCGCCTTGCTGCGAAAGCCCATCGAAAAGTAGCACACCTTTTTTTTGGACTTCGCTAGCAGCGCAGTCCAGTCAACTTCAGGCTCCAAGATTCGAAGGATCGCCTTCAGATCCTCAGGCATGGGCGCCTGTGGGGAAGGCTCAAGAAAAAGACGCAATGGGAATAAGCTGTGCATATCCAGAAGCAATAGAAGCAGTGAACCCCGCAACAGAAGCCACATTTGTCGGGGCTTCACCACCTGACGAAGCATGGTGAAGCCCGAGTCATGCTACACAAGGCAAGCCAACCACCTAATAAAATGACGTCGAGTTTGCTTGCATCTTTCGCCGCATCCCTTCACGAAGATGTCCCACGACTTTGCCGGCGTCCACATGACCAGATCTCATTGTTTGCAGTACTCACCTGTTTTGGTATTTTGTCGCAGCCTTTCCTGCTCTGGAGCAGTTCTGCATCAGGGCTTCAGTCAAAATTCTTCTTTCTGCATGTCGCAGTTGGCATCCTTACTGCTTGTGCAGAATCCTGAGTCCATCAACCAAATGTTGGACTTGAGCACGCTTCTAACCCAAGCTCTGCCCAGCGATCAGGCGATATTCATGCAATCGTGCAAAAAGCCTTATCTCTGACGTGAGTACACCACGCAACGCCTGAGGGAAGACTGGGCTGACGGATTCATGGCTTCAAGGCAAGCAAAGCCCTGTTGAGCCCCTCATGTCATGAGATTCTATATTGACCTGTACTGCCCCCACGCTAGCTACACCCTGCCCAAACCACAACAGGCCGAACAGTGTCAGCCTAAAGCATGGGATCCGGCCTCTAAGATCAGCTGCTCGCCATCCAACGCGAGAAGTTTTTGCTGTCGGCAATGCAAGAACAGTCTGTCGGCATAGTCTCGGAGGTCAGGCACAAGGTTTGCAAGGTCCTGGATCGAAGTTGCGCTTCAAGGGCTGTGGATGTCAATGTGATTTAGCCATTAGGTTGACAAGTTGGGATGGACGGGCTGGATGACGGGCGCCTGTGTAATGAACTTGCCATAGATGGTGTCCCCAAATAGAGGTAGTCCGATGCTCGCCAAGTGCGCGCGGATTTGGTGCGTTCTGCCTCACAGGTTAGACGAGCGGATGAACGCTGGGCAAGGATCGGTCCCGATGCGCCTGTGCGTGGGAAGACACGAAGTAGAGCCAAGCGAGATTCGCCAGCTGACGCAGGTAGCTCCTGTACTGCGATGGCTTCACACCGCGTGTATGCTTCTCTTCCACCAGCATCCACGAATGCTCGGGTCTTCTCATCATCCATCGGTCCCATCTGAGCTTGCGTGACCACCGCATTGGCAAGGAAAGGGTTCTAAAAGGAGTACATTATGAGCTGAAACGTGTTAAGGAAACAGGGGTATCCTAAGGTGCAGCTAGGGACCGTCACCACGCGAAGGGGAGTGGACACTTCAAACTCGGGAGCTGGAGGTGCAAGTTGCGTGTGGCAAAGACAAAGGTACTCCTTTGAGACCAGCCTCGGAATCAGAACAACAAGCTGTACTTCAAGCCTTCTTCTAGCGTTCAGAGTTTAACTACCTCAACATTCTCAAAATGATATCACATGCGGCAAAGTGTTCAACAATCTGAGAAAATGATGCTGCATGCTGCAAGGGCGCCGACCGGAGTACTGGGCCTGTTGCACCGGCAGGCGTGCGGTCCGAAAACAAATGTTGCTGTAAGCAAGCCGGCCTGCAACCATTTAGCAGCAGCAGACTGTTCGTCCCCGACTGCAGCTACCAGGACGCCCGATGTGGGAAGGTCCAGACGTGACCTGAGCATTCCGAAACCCTTGCCGAGACGTGTGTGACTAGCACGGCATGTGTGACGATGCACAAAGTGCAAACAGCGTTCTTTGAGGATCTGTGGAGTCCGGCACGGTGGTTAGCTTCTGCATGCTGAGCTCTTCCAGCTCGGCAAGCCTTGGTGGCTAGGGGCTCTACACAGCCCACACTACGACGATGAAAGGACGCATTTCTAGTCCAAGTGTCCAAGTGCTCTGCAGAGAGGAAAGTGAAGGAATTCTCTGAGGGCATGGCAGATCTTGGCTTGCAACACCAGGCGGCTTGGACACGGCCACAACTCCTCTGGCAGCGAAAACGCCGTCCGAGTAGCGACAAAAGAGCAAAAAAGGACAACAGCTTTTGCCCTCTCTACCTCAATCTCTGCGTAGCATCTCTGCCATAACATACAGCCCTTTGGGAATCTGCTCGTGATCCGCCTGGAGCTGAGAGGATCACATCGTCTCGAGGAAGATGTGCTGACGCGGCCTGGTTCTGAGCAGCTGTCGTGTTTTTTTCATGGGGACCGAGTGTGACCGATGCTGTGACCGCTAGGACATGGCCTGCGCCGCCCCCTGGCCCCAGTCCAGGAGAAACTTTCGGCCAAGAGCCCGGGCGGTGATCATGTCGAATTCCTGGTGCGAGAAATTGTTTAAACGACACACGCGACTCTGAACATCTCTGCACATGAAACAGGCGCTACGCCATGGCTCGCTGCTTCATGCCGCATGACGCTTCGTGCCAGGTGTAAAAGCATGTGTCAGGCAAGCTGAACAACGTAGGTCAGAGGTCAGGGTAGGAACACTTTAGGTAATGACAGCAACTCGGCCTTCTGCGCAATGTCAATGCACAGGCCAGCCTGGAGCACACAATGTCTAGCACTGGCGCATACTCGAACACGCTCAAGCACTCCCATTGTCTTATTGCTTTGCCTAGCAGCATGGACTCCATTCAACAGCAGCCTTTCCCAATGCATGTTCTGGAGCACGGTCACTGCCTGCAAGAAGCGAGGTCGCCTCACATCGGGTACTGCTTCGGCAGGCTTCGGCTGTGCCTGTGCCCATGTCGGCTTCGCCATTCCGCTCGAAATGCCAAGCTGCGAAGCCTGGTCACAGGGGTTGGATAAATGCTTTCCCACAGATTGCAGAGCGAAGCAATGTCGAAAGTACCATAAGTACAGCACGGTGACCCAAGAAGCATGCAGAGCATTCAACACGGCGTTGAAAGTCGAAGAGGATGCTTGGACCTTCAAACAGAACAATGCTGCGAAAAAGTCCGCAGGAGCTTGATTTAAGCCAGGATACCCCATCGCTGCCCATGCAGGCAACGAGTTCAACAGCTCTCGTCCACTGCAAACCTGAAGTGCTCTGTCAACTCCTCTGTGACACCAAACCTGAAGATGTGAAACGAACAGCCGAGACTGCAACTCTTTTCACATGCGCTGACGGCCGCGTTGTAGGCGATCACGTCCCTGCACCCGCTTACTTGAGGTCAGCTTCAAGTACAGAGTGCATGACATAACTTCTGGAAACATGGGACCTTCTGGAGCCATTCGCGCACATGCGTGCTAACAAACACCACGCCAGGGCCCATTCGCCAGAGTTGTCACATGCACTGATCAATGAGCTGCAGCCTGGCGATTTGGATACAATTTGTCGATTTGAGTTTAGCATTCAGGCTTGGCAGATTTTGGAAGATCAGCCAGTGGAGCTTGTTGTGTCAGGAGATGCGTTCTCACACAACATCCAGTCCAGGATGTTAAGTCCAGCTTGCCAGCTTCCACGACGCACACAAGCGCTGGCTGCAGCTCCAAAGCCTTGGGCGCAGATCACGCTGTCGCAGTCTGCTGCGGCGCTTTGTGATCTCATGCATGCGACAGGCTGGCACAATTTTGTACAAATATATCTGGTGTCGCCGTGCTGCAGATGGTGTTTGTTCGCAGACTCGCCTCTCCCAGCTGCTGCAGCAGTGACAGGGCGACGTCCCACCTACAGGGACAGCACAAATCGTGGCAAGACTCTGCGATGGGAAGGCTATCTGCTGGCCGCTCATGCTAAACACAGGTGAACTGAGCGTTGCCTCCCTGCATGTTCACAGGCACTGATTGCGGAACTGTAAGAGATCATTGTCGCCATCCTGCATGCTCGTGTGCCTGCTTGGTTCCACCTTCTTTGGGCCTACTCGGGATTCCCCCCACTGGTTTAGGCTCTGGGGCAGCTTTCTCCCACTGTAGTTCACCTTTCGAACAAGCTGACCCAACGTGGATCTACGAGAGCACGTGCGCTCTCTCTCTCTCTCTCTCTCGCTCTATAAAATTGTTTACGGGGTGTGCGGGGGGATGGGGCCAAAGCCCAAGAGGCTTCAGCTCGAATTTTGTGAACTGACGTACAAAGCCTTGAAAGGACACGATATTCACTTATGGACAAATCAACTCCTCAGTTTGGACATCTTCGCCAGAAGATGCAGAGCTTCTTCCCATCGGCGTGCGCTTGAGCAGGCACAGATCACCTGGGCCATGCAGTTGGCCTCATGTATGCATCCGCCGACCCCAGCCGGGGGCGGCGTCAGTGAAGACCCATTGCCCCTACCACCTTCTCCACCCCATCCAAAGCTCTGGCCCATGCTCCCACTCTCCATCCCCTTGACCTGCCCCTCATGGACCCAGCTCCCTACCCCTTACCCCTCACGCACCCTGCCGCCGCCCATGCTTTTTCATGGATCCATGGGTTCTGGCCCCACGGCTCCCCTCCCCCACCCCCTCCCCCTCCCAAACCTCGTCCCCTTACCCTTCCACGCCCCCCCCTCCCCCCAACCCATGTCACGCCTCCGCCTCTCTCACCCCCCACTCCCCCACCCCCACTCCCCCCCCCCCACTCCCCTGTCCACTACCCCCCCCCACCCCCCCCTCTACCCCCCCCACCCCCACCCTCCCCCCCCCCCTCTACCCCCCTCCCTCTACCCCCCTCCCTCTCTACCCCCCCCTCTACCCCCCCCTCCCCCCTCTCTACCCCCCCCTCTACCCCCCCCTCCCCGCCCCCACCTCCCCCCCACTCCCCTGTCCTCCGCCTGTAGGCCTAGCCCCACCCCCTACGCCGCTCCTGATCAATCTCTAGTGTTTGAGGGGTTCCAATGCACGCCCGCCCTGACCGCTCTCCCCGCTCTCACCGCTCTCATCGCTCCGCTTCCCTATGTGCCCGAGTCACTCCCTAATCCAACACCAACCCTCACCCCCCGCCCCCACCCCACCCCCACCCCCGACATTCCTTCACTCCACCCGCACCCACCCACCCCACCCCCCACTCCCACCCACCCCCCACCCCCTCCCACTCCCCTGTCCTCCGCCTGTGGGCCTCCAATCTTTAGTGTTTTAGGGGTTCCAATGCACGCCCGCCCTGGTCCCACCCCCCACCCCCTCCCCCTCCCAAACCTCGTTTGCTTGCCCTTCCACCCGCCTCTCTCACCCCCCACTCCCCCACCCCCCCCCCGCCCCCCCCCCCCCCCACTCCCCTGTCCACTACCCCCCCCCCTCTCCCCCCTCTCTACCCCCCCCTCCACCCCCGCCCTCTACCCCCTCCCTCTAACCCCCCTCCTCTCTACTACCCCCCCCTTACCCCCCTCCCCCCCCACCCCACCCCCACCCCCGACATTCCTTCACTCCATCCGCACCCACCCACCCCACCCCCCACTCCCACCCCACCCCCCACCCCCTCCCACTCCCCTGTCCTCCGCCCTGACCGCCCTCCCCGCTCTCACCGCTCATCGCTCCGCCTCCCTATGATGCGAGTTACTCCCAACCACTCTCCACTTGCCTCACCTCCTGCACCTACCCCTCCACTTCCCCTCTCACCCCCCACTTCCCCACCCCCGCCCGGCCCCGCCCCCCCCCCCCACTCCCTGTCCTCTGCCTGTAGCCTCTACCCGCCTGACCATTTCGCCCGCCCCCCCACCCCCTCCCACCCACCCACCCCCACTCCCCTCCACGCCCTCTCCTTCCATGGTCCTGCTCTGCCCGCCCCGACCCGCCCCCCCGCCTCCACCTGCCCGACCCCCCCCCCCCCACCCCCCCACCCCCCCACCCCCCGCACACGCCCCCCCCACGCCTGCTCCGCTCCCCCCTTCCCTCTGACCCTGCGTGTCCTCTTCCTTCCACTCCCCCACCCACCCCTCCCCCACCCGCCCCCCACTCCCTCTCTGTGCTCCCATCCCTGCCCTCACCGCTCTCATCACTACCCCCTCCCCACCCTCTGCCTAGACCCACCCTTCCCTGCCACTTTTTCTCCACCCACTCTCCACTTACCTCACCTCCTGCACCTACCCCTCCACTTCCCCTCTCACCCCCCACTCCCCCACCCCGCCTCTACTCCGCCTGACCAATGTCGCCCGCCGCCCCTCCCCGCTCTCACCGCTCACCGCTCTCATCACTATCCCCTCCCCACCCTCTGCCCTTGCCCGTCCTCCTTCCCTGCCACTTTTTCTCCAGCTACTTCCCACTTACCTCACTTGCCCTTGCCACTTTTTCTCAGCTACTTCCCACTTGCCTCACTTGCCCTTGCCACTTTTTCTCCAGCCACTTTCCACTTACCTCACCTCCTCCACCTACCTCTCCACTTCCCCTCTCACCCCCCCCCCCCCCCCCCCCCCCCCCCCCCCCCCCCCCACTCCCCTGTCCTCTGCCTGTAGTCTCCTACTGCGCATGTCAGGATTCCAATCCAGCCCGCCGCCCCTCCCCGCTCTCACCCCCCACCCCCCCTCCCACCCCCCCCCACCCTGCCGCCTACTCTGCCCCCCCCTTCCTCCTGCTTGTTCCAACTTGGCGTCCATGGCCCATGCCCTTCGACCCCCAACAACCTACTCTTTCGCCTCCTCCCACCCCCAACCCCTTCCCCCTCCCAACACCTCGTCCCCTTACCCTTCCACGAGTCTTAAGGCTCCAGTGCATGCCCGCACCCCCCCCCCACTCCGCCCCCCCACCCCGCCCGCCCCACACCCCCCTCGCATGCCCTTCGACCCCCCACCACCTACCCCCTTCGCCCCTTCCCACCCCTCTCGTCCCCTTACCGTTCCACGCCCCCCCCTCCCCCCAACCTAAGTCTTACGCCCCCCACCCCACTCCCCTGTCCCCCTCCTCCGCATCTCAGCCTAACCCCCCCTCCCCCCCCACCCCCCCCTCTCCCCTGTTCTGTGCCTGTAGCCTAGCCCCACCCCCTACGCCGCTCCTGACCAATCTCTGCAGTGTTGGAGGGGTTCCAATGCACGCCCGCCACGCCTACTCCGTCCCCACCCCCCCCCCCCCCCCCCCCCCCCCCCCCACCCTGCAACCCTGCCTATTTGCTTCCTTCACTCCACTCCCCCGCACCCACCCACCCCACCCCCCCACTCCCACCCCGCCCCCACCCCCCCCCACTCCCCTGTCCTCGGCCTGTCGGCCTCCAATCTTTAGTGGGGGTTCCAATGCCCGCGCCCGGCTCTCCCCGCTCGCACCCCTCTCATGCCTCCGCCTCCCCCTCCACTTCCCCGCTCACCCCCCACTGCCCCCAACCCCGCCCCCCCCCCCACTCACCTGTCCACTAACCCCCCCACCCTCTAAAAAAAACCCCCCCTCTAACCCCCCCCTCCACCCCCCCTTCTACCCCCCTCCTCCTACTCCCTCTCCCTCCCCCTCCCCCCCCTCTACCCCCCCTCCCCGCCCCCACCTCCCCCCCACTCCCTGTCCTCCGCCTGTCGGCCTAGCCCCACCCCCTACACCGCTCCTGACCAATCTTTAGGGGTTCCAATGCACGCCCGCCCTGACCGCTCTCACCGCTCTCATCGCTCCGCTTCCCTATGTGCCCGAGTTACTCCCTAATCCAACACCAACCTTCACTCCCCCCTCCACAGTCACCCCCCCCCCACCCCACCCCCACCCCCGACATTCCTTCACCACTCCCCCGCAACCACCCACCCCACCCCCCACTCCCACCCCGCCCCCCACCCCCTCCCACTCCCCTGCCCTGTGGGCCCCCAATCTTTAGTGTTTTAGGGGCTCCTTCCCTGCCACTTTTTCTCCAGCTACTTCCCACTTACCTCACTTGCCACTTTTTCTCCAGCTACTTCCCACTTACCTCACTTGCCCTTGCCACTTTTTCTCCAGCCACTTTCCACTTACCTCACCTCCTCCACCTACCTCTCCACTTCCCCTCTCACCCCCCACTCCCCCACCCCCGCCCCCACCTCCCCCCCACTCCCCTGTTGTCCTCCGCCTGTAGGCCTAGCCCCACCCCCTACGCCGCTCCTGATCAATCTCTAGTGTTTTAGGGGTTCCAATGCACGCCCGCCCTGACCGCTCTCCCCGCTCTCACCGCTCTCATCGCTCCGCTTCCCTCTGTGCCCGAGTCACTCCCTAATCCAACACCAACCCTCACTCCCCCCTCCACAGTCACCCCCCCCCCACCCCACCCCCACCCCCGACATTCCTTCACTCCATCCGCACCCACCCACCCCACCCCCCACTCCCACCCCGCCCCCCACCCCCTCCCACTCCCCTGTCCTCCGCCTGTGGTAGTGTTTTAGGGGTTCCAATGCACGCCCGCCCTGACCGCCCTCCCCGCTCTCACCGCTCTCATCGCTCCGCCTCCCTGTGATGCGAGTTACTCCCAACCACTCTCCACTTGCCTCACCTCCTGCACCTACCCCTCCACTTCCCCTCTCACCCCCCACTCCCCCACCCCCGCCCCCCCCCCCCCACTCCCTGTCCCCTGCCCGCCGCCCCACCCCGCCCAACAGCCCCCCCCCCCACGCCCCTCCACGCCCTCAATCCTTCCTGTTCCTCCCCTCCCCGAACCCCCCCCCCCCCCCCCCCCCCCCCCCCCCCCACCCCCCCACCCCCCCACCCCCCGCACACGCCCCCCCCACGCCTGCTCCGCTCCCCCCTTCCCTCTGACCCTGCGTGTCCTCTTCCTTCCACTCCCCCACCCACCCCTCCCCCACCCGCCCCCCACTCCCTCTCTGTGCTCCCATCCCTGCCCTCACCGCTCTCATCACTACCCCCTCCCCACCCTCTGCCTAGACCCACCCTTCCCTGCCACTTTTTCTCCACCCACTCTCCACTTACCTCACCTCCTGCACCTACCCCTCCACTTCCCCTCTCACCCCCCACTCCCCCA